CATTAACCCTTGCAGTGAGGGCTACCCCTGCACTGCGAGGGTTAAGTGCATCCTTTGGTCTAGGTTCTAAAAATATATACTCAGCCGATCCTCTGTCCCACAGCGGTGAGCGCTCACTACTCTCTCCGTCTGTGGAATGTGCCTCGGTATTGTCACGTCCATGGCAAGTATATGGACGTTAGAACGTCACGGGGTAGACTGCTGAAGCCACAAGGCAAGGAGGCTGCAGGGACCGGTCTAGCAGCCTGGCTGGACCGAAGATCTGGTGAGTATATCTTTAGTTTAGACCCTTGACTGAAACAAGCAGTTAACCCACTTCAATGGTTAATACGCCCAAAGTTTTTCTTTAACGTATTACTTTGCTGCACAACCTTCCTTTTGGGCCCACTGTCACTCAAAAAGCAAAGGATGGTGTGATCAGACACGGATGTACTGTGACCCTGGAGTTCAGCTTGTAACTCTATGGAAGTGTTCCTCGACTCTTTGTCTGCCAATTACACTCTTCTGTTCAGTCTGCGGCGATTATTTCCCCATTGGTGGTAAATCCCATCTCCTATTTTACCAAAGGAAAGAATTGCTTCAAGTTTATTTAACACCATTCTAAATTATTCTGTAATAAAATGTCATATGTTATGTCAGGTTTAGATGTTTGAATTTGTCTAGTTGTCCCTTCTAATGTTAGTGACTGACCAGTGGTCACCTAATATATACTGGAGGGAATTTATCAAAACTGGAGCAGACCGAAACTAGAGCAGCTGTGCATGGCAACCAACCAGCTTCTCTCTTCAGGTTGTTCTGGTAAGATTTGAAAATGAAAGGGAGACGCTGATTTGGTTGCCATGCACAGCTGCTCCAGATTTTGCTCCATTTTTGATAAATTCCCCCCACTGTATTGTGTATACATTATTCCCCATAATGCTTTAAGACATTCTGTGCATTTGGCTGAGATCATTCAGGCACTGGTTCTCATGTCAGTATTGAAATTGAATTGAAGAATTATTGGTCTAGACATGAAATAAATCTGCACTGCTTAAGTAGATCTTGAGTTTAAGAGCAGGAAAACTACAATTGATCTGTCTGGGCTGCTCATTTTCCTTTCCCCTATGGTTACGTCTGTTCAGGAATTCTAGGCTTGGCAATGGATTGCCATGTGTGTTAAAGCAAAGAAACGCTTCCATTTCCCCTTTTCTTGCTTATTTGCTCACTTTGCCCTAATGTGGAATGTAAACTTATAAATTCTTCTAGAAAGTCTCGGAGATTAGATGTGGAGGTGCTTCAGATCATTTCCTTTTCATGAAGTACATGGTTGTTAAAGCAGCAGTATGATGCTGCCATCTGCTGGCAGACACAGGATTTCTCAGTCAGGTTCGGAGGAAGTGCTCTGTCTACAGGGACATGCTACATGAGGATGCAGGGTAATTTAGGATAACTCAGGTGGTTACGTAGTGTTAATCTAACTGAAATCTTAATCTAACACACTAGGATAGAATTGAAAAAAAGAAAAACCTCACAACTGTGTCTGAAAGCAGTTCTTTCTTTGATATTTAACAGTTCGGCACTTGTTGCACAGAAAAGCAATTGTATTCTCACCCACTAAAGAATGCAAAGCATTCATGCCAGTGATATCGGAGGACTCAGTCTCTCTTTGAAGGAACATTTAAGCATATGTTTGTTATGTGGGGGAAAATATTTAGCTGTCAAATGTTTGTTTAATCGGTTTGTTTCATTGCACAAATTCATAAGATTATTCTCTCAGAATGAGCAAGTTGTCTTGCTGTTCAGATTGTCATTTTATGTCATAAAAATCATACAACAGTCCATTAATAGTTATTAGCTGACTTTTTTGCTTTTTGTGTGACATGGGTCTCTATGCTATATGAGGAAATTTGCTGTTCCAGAGAGTCAAGAGAACGGCTAAATGTATTATAGATGGAACTTATGGTAATAGAGGGGATAGTTTTCAATACACAGCTGGCTTCTGTCAAGAAAACCCACTAGGGATTGTAGTAGGCATCCTCCGTTCAGCCTAAAAGGGTGGACCACATGCTACATTTAGCTAATGATAATCTGATAGAAGTATCTTGGGCCTCATGTATTAATTACAGAACTGTCTTCTCTACTACTACTACTACCCCGTTCTGCGCAGTGATAGCAAGTCACACACATGGGGAGGTGATCTACAGATAAGTAGCTGTAGGCTATATCAGGTACATCATAAACCCAGAGGCCAGACAGCAGTGTGTGAGCTGCAGGGCAGAGCTCTAATTCCATGACAGTCTCTTTCTCCGATCATAGTTTTGTTGCAGTACAACACAGTACAAGTAAATTAGTTATGATATCTGCCCATCAAAGTTTTTTGTTAACGATTATTTTATTTTTTTTGATACTCATTCGGTAACATTTGCCTTTTGGCATGCCCGTGCCAGGTGAATCTATTTTCTTTTATGTAGTATGGGTTATATACAGTACTGTGCAAAAGCTTTAGGCAGGTATTAAAAAAATGCTGTAAATTAACATTTCTTTCAGATATAAGTGTTAATAGTTTATTTTTATCAATTAACAAAATGGAAAGTAAATGAACAGAAGAGAAATCCAAATCCAATCAATATTTGGTGTGACCACCCTTTGCCTTCAATACAGCATCAATTCTTCTAGGTACACTTGCACACAGTTTTTGAAGGAACTCGGCAGTTAGGTTGTTCCAAACATCTTGGACAACTATCCAGAGATCTTCTGTGGGTGTAGACTGCCTCAAATCCTTCTGTCTCTATGTAATCCCAGACAGAGTTGATTATGTTGAGAATAGGGCTCTGTGGGGGCCAAACCATCACTTCCAGGACACCTTGTCCTTCTTTACACTGATGGTTCTTAATGACATTGGCTGTATATTTGGGGTTGTTGTCCTGCTTCAGAATAAATTTGGGGACAATCACACGCCTCCCCGATGGTATGGCATGATGGATAAGTATCTGCTTGTATTTCTCAGCATTGAGGACACAATTGATCCTGACCAAATCTCCAACTCCATTGGCACAAATGCAGCCCCAGACTTGCAAGGAACCTCCACCATGCTTCACTGTTGCTGCAGACACTCATTATTGTACCGCTCTCCAGCCCTTCAGAGAACAACCTGCCTCCTTCTACAGCCAAATATTTCACATTTTGACTCATCACTCCACAACACCTGCTTCCATTTTTCTGCACCCCCAGTTCCTAGGTTTTTGTGCATAGTTGAGTCATGTTTCAACCTACATATTAAATTGATGATCATTAGCACCTGCCTGGTATAATTGGTTAATCATGCACAAAGTCAGTGATTTTGTAGGATTATAGTCAGGTGTAAGTGTTAAGGTGGCCATACACTTTACAACCCTTGCGAGGGTTGTAAAGTAATGAATAGGGTTGCACAGATACCAAGTACAGTACTCGGTACAAGTACGAGTACATGTACCGATACTTTTGAGCTCCAAGACTAGACTAGAGAAAAATAAAAAATTAGGAGGCAGCTGTCATTTGTAAGGAGCACACGGAGCTCCCGGGATTTGTACATCTTTGTTTTAATGTACGATTTTGTTTTTATAAATGTAAATAAAGGGATGCACGGATACCAGTTTTGCGAGTATTAGTACTGGTACTTGCTGAGTACTGAGCCAGGTCCCAGCTGCAACCCTGATAGTTCTCATGAAAATGCCAGATATTTGCACTGGTACTCAAAGTATCTGTGCATCCCTAATGAAAAATGAATAATGAAAAAAACGTACGATCTGCCCATCTTGGACAGGCAGATCGTACTTGCGAACATCGCGTGCGCTCACCCGCCGTTTGGCAGTTGTCGAAAAAGCAGGCCACTAACTCGACGAGCATCGTACTATTCTCGGCGCGTTTTCCAGCCTGCTTGTTCGATGGAAGACGTGCGACCGTAAAGTAGAAACGGTCACATGCCTTCCATACACTTTGCGATTATCGTGCGATTATCGTACGATCGTGGGATTTCCTGCGATTCTCGTACGATAATCGTGCAGTGTATGGGCACCTTAAGAATCAATGCTGGTTTGAAGCCAATAGATTTTTTTTTCTTCTGGATATTCACTTTGCATTTTGTGCATTGATAAAAAACAATTACAATATATATTTGTGAAAGCATTCTTACTTTACAGCATTTTTTCACACCTGCCTAAAACTTTTGCACAGTACTGCATGTACTGTTGCATACATATTCATGCATAAGTTGTATGATTTCACAGTGTTTTCTTTGATATGGAGTAAAGTGAAATGTTCATAGATGAAAACAGGGGACCCCCCATTGCCATACTCTATGTGGTTTACACCTGAACAAACCTTCCTTTCCCCTTGTATATTTCTAAAGTGAATGTATCTATTTGCTGCATCCTTGGTCTGTTTAATATACTGTTGGAAGCCTGTACAAGTGCAAAAAACTGTAAACTTAAAAGTTAAACTTGTTAAACAAAATGCAACCTCATTGATCTTGGGACCACGAGTCAGTGCCTATGCTTTAAATTTGACTGTAGACTGTAGTTTAGCTAAGTGCCAGTTCACATCATATGCAGTTGTGATGCAGTCTGTTTGACTGCTGCAGTCAAAATACATCACAATGCTTTCCTATGGGCTTTCTTGTGCTTTATTCACACCATTGCAGTCACAGACTGCATCACAACTGCATATGGTGTGAACTGGCCCTGAAGAAAATTGGGCAGGGCTGACACCATTCCACCAAAATGCTATGTGTTTTCAGCTCACACGAGGAAATTAACTGCATTGCTGGCAGATCAACAGGTACTTTTCTCTTATTGCAGGGTTTTTAAAGGGCAAAAACAACACCGCAAACTGTGCACATATCGCATATAGTTTTTTGTTTTTTTATTTAATTTTGAAATTACCTATGCTTTAAGGAAAACCGAACTGACCTCACTGAATACTACTGAATTAATTACTTTTCAGATATATTTTCATAAACACTGTCATTTCTTTGTTAATTCCAGAGCAAAGTAGAAGAGATGACTTAGAAGCATTAGGACATATGTTTATGTATTTTCTACGAGGGAGCCTACCCTGGCAAGGACTAAAGGTACATTTATATTGAGTAATGTTAACCACTTAATTTTTCCCTATAGTTTTACCTTTTTGTAATTTTTCGTTTGTTACCTGAACATTAAATATCTGAAAGCTGTAATGTCTGAAAGTTTTTGACTACTTTTGACCCTGATCTACTGGTATAAGGTCCTGCACTGTGCAGTTCTGAATTCAATAGTCTTTTCAGCATGGCTTGGTGGCCTTTAGGATCTCTCCTTTGGTATCCCAAAGTTTCTAAAAGAAATTAGTAGGTGACTGGACTCTTCACCACCCACCTGAATTAATCCTTGAGTGTTGGCGAGTCTTTTCCTTTACCAGTTTGCTTCTCCTTTTTAAGCAAACAATTGTGTATTTTCTTTAAAAAAAAAAAAAATACAAATTCTCAGGTATTGACTTAAACTTACTTTCTGAATTGTTTGAAACAATTTGTCAGACCTGTCCCATTGCACTCGTGGCTCGTACAGATACACCTATAATTACGTTGACTGGTATTCTCAATATTAACCACAAATGTTTCTGCATTGTTATTCCATTATAATATTTATATTACCTTTTTTATTTAGTGTTTTCCCCCTAAAAACAGCAGCAATTTCAGATGCAAATTTCTGCTCATTATAGACCTATAAAAAGCTATTTGATTTTAAAGTTTCCCATGTATTTCCTTTCCATTTTTAGGCTGACACGTTAAAAGAAAGGTATCAGAAAATTGGAGATACGAAGCGAGCAACTCCAATTGAAGTGCTTTGTGAGAATTTCCCAGGTAAAAAAAGTACTTTTTATTGCCTTATTTCAAATAGACCCTTAACATAATCTATTTAGTACCGTCACTTTACAGTGGGTTAAATAATTAATTGATCCCCTGCAGATTTTGTAAGTTTGCCCACTTACAAAGAAATGAAAGGTCTATAATTTTTATCATAGGTGTATTTTAAATGATAGAGACAGAATATCATCCAAAAATCCAGAAAAAACACATGATACAAATGTTATATTGAGTTGCAGTTCAACCAACAATATTTCTGGCTCTCACAGACTGGCTATGTGGTACACAGATTAAGAAGGTGCGCCTAACGACAACTCGTTATGTATATAAAAGACACCTGTCCACAGAATTTCTTTCTTCCATTCAAACCTCACTACCATGGGCAAGACTAAAGAGCTGTCAAAGGACGTTGGGGACAAGATTGTAGACCTGCACAAGGCTGGAATGCAAGACTATCAGCAAGAAGCTTGGTGAGAGGGAAACAACTGTTGGAGGGATTATTCACAAATGGAAGGAATACAAAATAACCATCTATCGCCCTCGGCCTGGAGCTCCATGCAAGATTTCACCTGATGGGCTAAGGATGATCATGAGAAAAATGAGGTATCAGCCCAGAACTACATGAGAGAAGATTGTAAGGCAGTTGGGACCACAGTCACCAAACAAACCATTGGTAACACAATACACCACCATGGATTGAAATCCTGCAGCGCCCGCGAGTTCCCTCTCTAAAATAAGGCACATGTACAGGCCTGTCTGAAGTTTGCCAATGAACATGTAAATGATTCAGAGAAGGATTGGGAGAAAGTTCTGCGGTCAGATGTGACCAAAATTGAGCTCTTTGGCATTAACTCGACTTGCCGTGTTTGGAGGAAGAAAAATGCGGACAATGACCCTAAGAACACCATCCCTACAGTCAAGCACGGAGGTGGAAACATTATGCATTGGGGCTGTTTCTCTGCTAATTGTACAGGCCGACTTTGCCGCATTGAGGGCCAATGAACGGGGCCATGTATTGTACAACCTTTTATGAGAACCTCCTTCCCTCAGCCAGAACACTGAAGATGGGTCGTGGATGGGTCTTTCAGTATGACAATGACCCAAAACATACCGCCAAGGCAACAAAGCAGTGACTCAAGAAGAAACACATTAGGGTCATAGAGTGGCCTAGACAGTCTCCAGACCTTAATCCTATAGAAAATGTATGGAGGGAGCTGAAACTTTGAGTTGCCAAGTGACAGCCAAGAATCCTTAAAGGAGAACTATAAGGTGAGTGCTTTTCACTCACCTCCTAGTTCTAGACGACCTGTGAAAATGAGACCGTCACAGATCGGCTTTGTAGATCGGGAGGTGAGCGAACACATACCGGGTTCGCTCACCTCTCGATCCTGTCACGGCTCTCTGCCGTGACAGGGGAGGGGCTGGATTCCCTTCTCCCCGCTCCGATCCGCCAGCGCTGACTGGCGGAAGAGACGGGGGAGGGGCGGGTACAGCTGGCTCTGCCTCTAGATAGGCAGAGCCAGCTGTCACTCACGCAGCTGGGCGGATCTCGACATCGATGTTGGGATCCGCTGCGGCGTCTCGGTATACCGTGAGCTGTAGCTCGCAGTATACTGAGCCTAGGGTGACGGGAGGACTCTAGTTTGTGTCCTCCCGTTACCCTAAGGAGAACTATGGGGAAAAGCCCTGAACCCATAGTTCTCCTTTAAGCATTTAGAGAATATCTGTAAAGAAGAGTGGACCAAAATCCCTCCTGAGATGTGTACAAACCTGGTAACCAACCACAAAAAATGTCTTACATCTGTGCTTGCCAACAAGGGTTTCCCCACCAAGTACTAAGTCATGTTTTTCTTGGGGATCAAATACTTATTTTACTCACTGAACGGCAACTCAATTTATTACATTTGTATCGTGTGTTTTTTCTGGGTTTGTGGTTGCTATTCTGTCTCTATAATTTAAAATACACCTATGATAAATTATAGACCTTTCATTTCTTTGTAAGTGGGCAAACTTACAAAATCTGCAGGGCATCAAATAATAATTTTCCATACTGTACAAGCAGATTGTTTTTCTTGAAATTGTATTTTTGTTCAAAATGTGTTACCCTCTAAGACCCTTTTGTACAGTATTCAGAAAGTTTCTTCACCACCTTAACTGACTTTGCATGTACTGGGACCCTTGTCCCTGCTGCATTGTTTCCTTGGCAGATTAAAGGCTGAGTTTACATGTTTTACCATAGTGTGGGTATAACATGAAACATAGAAACATTCCCCAGCTCCTCAGCACCACCTTACCTAAATTGTGGGGATTTTCTTAAGGCAGGCTTTTGTATATATTTGAATTACAGGATTGGCGTATTAAGAGTACATGTCCCATCTGCCACCACAGCAGATGAACGCTTCGATCTCGATGGGGAAAAAACCTGATGACTACACACCTTACTGCACCAGTAGTCCATTCATTACGTTCTCTAGTTACATAACGGAAGGGACTGGGTGAATAGTCTGCAGGAGCCTGGACATTGCAACTGTGATCTACTTTGCGTTCTCCATTGTTTTTTGTTTTTATCATTGCCTTTAGGTCAGGGCCATAAAGTAGAATAATATGAGCATTTAACCATAAGCTTCTATGTAAATCACTGATTTAATCACAGTGCAGAGTCAACATAACTTTAGTCCCTGAGCTAAAATACTTCTAAATGTTGTGTGTAGAGCTGCAGCTAACGATTATTTTCAAAATCGATTAGTTAGCCGATTATTAAGTTCGGTTAATCGGATAAACAATAAAATAAAGTTTAAAAATGGCTCCAGTGATAGGACTACTAGTTTGTATTGAGGTTGTAGTCCATCACAGGAGCAAGCTTGGAGCGGTGGAAGTAAAAAAGAAAAAAAAGATAGTGTGGTGTGCAATATAGTGAAATGGAAAGTGTAAAATTATACAGCAATGAATGCAGAATGGCACCGGCTATAGAGGACTACAAAACCCAGCAAAAGCACATTATACAGCACAATGCAGAATACCGCCAGCTATAGAGGAATACAACAAATCCCAGCAATAGTACATAATAGCTGGCGGCATTCTGCATTGCGCTGTATAATGTACTATTGCTGGGTTTTGTAGTCCTCTATAGCTGGTGGTATTTAGCATTGTACCACTTTATAATGTACTATTGCTGGGATTTGTTGTAGTCCTCTATAGCTGGTGGTATTCTGCATTGCGCTGTATAATGTATTATTGCTGGGACTTGTAGTCCTCTATACAGCGCAATGCAGAATATCACCAGCTATAGAGGAGTACAACAAATCCCAGCAATACATTATACATACAGTGTATAATGTATTGCTGGGATTTGTATTCCTATGTATAATATACAGCACAATGTACCATCAGCTATAGAGAAATACAAATCCCAGCAATACATTATAGAGCACCATGTGTGGGAAAGTGCAGGCTTACCTGAGCAGTCTTCCAGCAACTTGCTTCTGAGATCGGACCTGTCTATCAGCTGCTGTCATCCCCCCACCCCTGCTCCTCCTTACTACATCTCCCCGCGTGCCTTGCCGATCGTGGATGGGCAGGAAATGTGAGGCGGGGAGGAGGTGCGGCGTGTGGAGCGTGGATGCGGGCGGGTCTGGCAGCGGCGAGCGTGAGGTGGGGAGGAGGTGCGGCGCACAGCGTGTGGAGCTGTGAACAGGGCCAACTGATCGGAAGCCGATTAATCGATTATTGAAAAAGTTGACAACTTTTTCAATCGATTGTAATCGATTATGTCGATTAGTTGTTGCAGCTCTAGTTGTGTGCCCTCTTTCCATTGCTGAGGGCAGGGAACATGCTGAATACAGATCCCAACTGTTTGTGTAATATATGTTTATATTGCCTTTGCCTTGCTTTTGCCAGGAAGCCTCCAAACTCTTCAGACATAGACCAATTCATGACAGTCAGCTCAATGATCTCTTATTTTTAAATTGCAGAAGAAATGGCCACGTATCTGCGCTATGTAAGAAGGCTAGATTTTTTTGAAAAACCGGACTATGACTACTTAAGAAAGCTATTTACAGATTTGTTTGATCGAAAGGGATATATGTTTGACTATGAATATGACTGGACTGGGAAGCAACTAGTAAGTATAATAATGATAGGCAAATGTTAATTCATGTTCGTCGTGTGTCTGGGTTTTTGTGGCAACGTTACAAGTATACCTAAGATGAAGAAAACAATTTGCATCCTGGAAGATTAATTAGCTCCTGTCTAAATTGGCCCTCGTACTTATGCATGTGAGATGGATGGAGAAATTGTCGGCGCTATATAAATACCAGTAATAAATTAACTCAATAGAATAGCCTACCTGCTAAAAGGCTTTTGATTTCTTCAAGGTTTCTCTGTCCTAATTGTATCCTTGTTTTTGCTTTTTGCTATTCTGTGATAATGCAGACCAGTTGTTTCAAGATTCTGAACATCCCACTTGTTAGATCAGATAGGTTGAACAGTAAAAAAATCATATAACAAAAACCTGTAGTTGTCCTTCCTTTGGAAAAGCTTGATAAATGTATCTGTGGATTCAGATTAAAGTTGTTTTTTCATTTTAAAGTTTTAATTACATTTTAAAGTAGCAGTGTATAACACATTCCAATTTAACAGAGTTGTGTATTCAAAAATGTAACATTTATTTGTAAATAATCTCAGTATGTCGTTATTAGTTCCCTGCTTTTGCTTACACACCAGGAGTTAAACTGGGAGGACTGTTATCCAAACAAACAGACTACATTGCACAGGGAACTGGGTGGTAGGAGTGGGCAGCACTGGCATAAGCTTTAGTATGTTGCTACTCCTTCACTATGCAATTACAGGTGTGGGCCACGGACCTTACATTTTAACAACCACCTCTTGTTGGAGGCTGTCATGTGTGCACCTTCAGTTGGCCGTCAAACTGCTTATCTTATGCTGTAAGAAAGGAAGCTTAAGGAAACTGTATACCGTGAGGCATGATGCCAAACATACTGAAAAATAGATTTAGGGTTTACATACACTTTGCTGCATTTGCAAATATAAACTGTATGGGTAACCCTCTAATGCCGGGGGTCATCAATGCCTAGATGCCCAAGCCAAATTTAGCTGCATCCATAAACATCATTATTACAAGCTGCTAAATAGGCAAACATGAAAAAACCTTTTACATTACCTTGTGATCACTAAACCTCTTGTGATGATCAGGAACTATGCTGATTGGACCCCAATCACTGTATCTGGCAGCGCTGCTGTCAGATATAACACTTTAACAGAACAAGGTCAGAACTGGAAGCGGGACTCGGCTTGTACTTGACTGTACAAGTAGCAATGCTGCCTAATGCTCTATAATGGTTTTATGGAAATTGTGTTACTGCACTAAGATGTTTGGTCACTATGCCACTTCAGAAAAGTTTGATCGGTCGATCAACTTTCCTTGGATGTCCATGTAACTGGATTTAATAGTTGTGTTCTTGAGCCAAGAGAATTACCTTGATGTTCAGTACATCAGTGTATTTCTATGGACCTGCACTCGAATTACAGACTTGTAGAGCTGAATAGGAACCATGGGCAAGTGTCAGTGCATTGGTTGCTTTGTTATATTGCATCTCTTGGTGTTGCATTGTAAAACTTTTTTTTCCCCCCCCATAACAGCCCACACCAGTTGGCTCCATTCATGCAGATCCAGCTCTTTCATCAAACAGAGAAGCACATCAACACCGAGATAAGATGCAGCAAGCCAAAAATCAGGTAAGTGTCACCTTGCCAGCTACATTTCTTGAAATAGTAACCTTTTATTTTCATTTATTATCAACCAACTTGTCCTTACTAATCTATTTTTATCAGTTATAAAGTAATACAAATAATACTATTGATACTTGATCTTGTAGAGGTAACACAAGGTGTTTCTAATATGTGGCATCTTTTTCTTTTTTAGTTTAACTGCCAGTGCTTAGTAATGTGTTTGCCTTCTAATATTTATGTGCAATGATACAGTAACTGTCAGTATCTGGATCAGGGGGTCAGATAAACATAGACAGTCTGCCTATGCTTATATTTCTCCTATTATGAAAGAAGCCCACACTCTAGTGATGCCACCAAGCTTAACCACAACAGGAGGTTTACCATTAGCGGCTAACAGACCAGGAACCACTAGTATTGATTTGCATATGCTGGAGCAAAGGACACAAGTAAAACTACAGCAGCTGCCCATAGCGACGTATCAGTTTGTATCTACACTTGAAAAATGAAACCTGATTGGCTTCTGTGGGCTTCTGCTGCGCGTTTACTTTGTGTTTATGACTTAACTGACTTCATGGTGGTAAATATGGAACACAATTCCTATGTTGCCATTCAGCTGTAAAAAGGCTGCTGATAGTGCCTAACCAAGCATTTGATGGCAAGTGTTTGTCATTCTTTCACATTGTTTCACAGGCAGTTCCCAAGTTACTTACATTCGACTTGCATACGACTCCTACTTACAAACGGAGGCTATTACTGTACAGCAGGGGTAGTTGTAATGCTACCGTGCTTGTGCCGACGAGGAGTGCTCGCCTTTTTGGGTCTGGTTCGTAGTACTGTACTTACATTACAGGAAGTTGGCTCTTGTTAGAGGTGCAGACTAGGGGTACCCACCTCTTCTTCCGGGTCACTGTGAGGTATTTACTGCTGTCTGTATCCTCATTAGAAAGATTTAATCTCACTTCCTATCCTTGAGACAACAGGAAATGGGAAGAAATCTACCCCTAGGAAGGGGAATTCACTCCTGGAAGAGTGATCATGGGAAAAAGGTGTCTCCACTGAAGCTTTATCACCAATCCTTGTTTCCACGACAACCCAACATTTTCAAAATTCAATTGTCACAGGGACAGAAAGTGAGGCGAAATCTTCTGAACAGGGGCACACACACAGCAAAACAAACTTTACAGAGGGTTAACCCTTGCCTATGCTATCCCAAACCCCTGCAGTTACACTTAAAACATGTACCTGTTCCAACTTACATACAAATTCAACTTAAGAATAAACTTACAGTCCCTATCTTGTTCGTAACCCGGGGACTGCCTGTATAGTTAATCTATTTTATTCCATTTTACTGCTGCAAAGTTGTTGCTCCATAACAGTGAAAATTTGAAAATTTGCTGGTCCATTTGTGAGCACAGATGATTTTTACATTAAGTAGCATACAACACTTAAATTGTCAGTCCCGCTAGCCTTAACGCCTTCATGACTTTCGCTTCTGTTGTAAAGCCGACAGTCGGCTCTACAAGTTTAAACTGAGTCCCGGCGGGAGTCTGTTTAAACAGCCCCGATGCTGGCGACGTACACTGTACGTCGTCAGTCACGAAGGGGTTAAAAGAGAATTCTGTCTAATAGAATTTTTTCAATTTTGGGTTGGCAATAAGAGTTGAATTACCATGCAGTCTGTTTTACCTCTTGGAGACTCGAGTGCTGTTCGTTCCTCACAGTCTCCACTCTGTTTCCCAAGGCCTTAAAATTAAATTCCGAGCAAAATAGCTGGAACAAAAAACTGAAATTCATATATATGAACTAGGGATGCACCAATACTGGTTTTTCGGTATCGATTACGAGTTCCAGTACTTCCTCTAGTATCGAGCAGGCCTCCTCGCCAATCAGGAACCACGGCAGCGGTTTAATGACCCGCCTTCCAGTTTCCTGATTGGCTGAATAGCCGCCTTCATGCTGTTTGGACAGGAAGCCAATCATCATTGAGCCGGCTTCCCGCCCAATCGTGAAGCAGGGTGGCGGGTCATTGGCCGGTTACCGACTCCATGCTGTTTGGCCGACCCAATGCTGATTGGCTGGGCTTCTCTTTTCCAGTGCGGCACTGCCAGTCAGAGGAAAAATAAAAAAATATATTTTTTAGTTATGAGATTTGGATTAACTGGTGTACTTGTATATCTACTTGGAGTTTTATATTAACCAAAGTGTCATGCACTTAGTGCTGGTCTCCACAGCCATTTTACATTGGGGCAAATCCATCAGGGGACCACGACATCATCACTGTCCTTTATAATTAGCATGGCAATTCTGTTGATAACCTGCTAAAGAAGTGTCCAATTGCCATTAGGCGGTTTAGCTTGCCAGGTACTACACAAAACAAAAGTATTTTTTGGGTGAATGTGGCTTTAAGAGGAGATGTTCTCTCACCCATAGTAGTCTGCCAGAAATTACTTTTGTAAGACTAATGAAGGATTATGTCTCCTACCATGTTTGTTTTTTCACATCAGTGCTATTCGCACCACTGTTTAACATACCTTTTTATGTGTTATTAAATTACATAGTGCTTAAAGGCACAGGTGTCCAGCAACTCATGAACCTAATGCACTCTGTCTGAATTGCAATGTGTGCTTTTTGTACCATGCCTTCAAATGGAGCCCTGTGTGTAAATTTGATGGCAGTGGACTAAAACCTAACAGTGTTATGCCATTTTTACCCAGAATCCCTCAAATGGTAAAAATGCTATAGTGAATTGGCCAAGGTCATAAATATTTTTGCTCATTGTCTTTTTTCACTTTTTAATACAGCTGTTTTAGAAGCAGAATGTGTTAGTACTATGCCTATTTATTAGAGGTGCTCTGGTTTGCTAAATGGCTTTTACAGACAAAGGCTACATTTCATAAAACTAGTTTTGTTATTTGAAACAGGTAATGCGAAATAATTTTATTATAAATTCTGGGTTTGGGGTTTTTTTTGGTTTTTTTTTTTTTTTGCTATTGCATTTTAGACAGCTTAAATCTAGGTGAAAGTGCACTCGGGTTACATTGATTTTGGTGCACATCAAATAGTTTTAAGACTGAAGAATGTTAAATAGCTTCAGTTGAAAGTTATTGGGCTTAAGAGCCATATGGATACAGTTATATCATGGCCTCTTTAGATGAAACCCCCTTTAAGAAGTCTGTCTTGGTCCTGAGCTACACAGGTTATTAAAATAATTGAAACCTTTTTCATGACCATTTTACCAGATATAAATTGGCACACTGCTTATATTGGTACATAACAAAAGTGTATAATGAATTAAAGACATTGAACAGCTGCTTCAGACAATGCCCTGGGATCCACATATATTTTACTAGTAACTATTGCAACATCACTTATATTGTACCAGCCTATGAGACATCTCAAACCATCCACATCATGAGATGCAACAAAGACCATTCACTGTGCTAAAGACTAATGTATTACACAAGTTAAGGCAGTACTAGCCTGTAAAACACAACAGACCATCTACGGTGCTAGAAAGTAAATGTACCACACAGATTAAGGCAGTACTAGACTGCGAGACAACACAGACCATGAATAGTTCTGAAGGTTGAATGTATAACACAGGATAAGGCAGTACTAGGCTGGGAGACAACACAGACCATCTATAGTGCTAAAGGTTAAATGTATCACACACGATAAGGCAGTACTAGCAGGGGCGTATCTCCCGCGAGGCAAACAAGGTGTTTGCCTCGGGCGGCAGATTCCCAGGAAGCGGCAAAAATGCCGCCCCCCAAAACATTTAGGCAGCCGGTGTACGATCAAAAGTTCCCGGGCTGCACAGAAACCGGCAGCCTTGCGGGGAGGAAGCGGCCGGCGGTGGAGCAGGAGGAGACAGGAACAAAGCGGCAGGGGCGGGGATGGTAGAGGTCGAGTAAAGACGGAGTGGCAGGAAGCAGTGGGCGGACACAGAGGAGATGGGGGCGGAGATCGAAGAGACGGGTGAAGACGGAGGAGGCGGGGGGCCGAAGACTGCAACAGAGGAGGCAAGGACACTGATCCGCGATGGAGGACACGGGAAGCGTCGCCCAGGCTCCAGTCGGGGGAAGAAGCTGAGATGATTTGGCGCTGAGGCGGTGGAGGAGGCTGGGTTTCCTGTGCCAGGTAGGTGGACTGTGCTGGCAGGGCCCAGCATAGGTTTTGCACAGCCCACCAAAGAGTCGCAGGTGGGCTGTGCAATACCTTTTGGTGAGCTTTGCAGGAACTGTGGGGGACTTTTCATGATCCTTAGGGGGTTCTGCAGCCTGCAAAGCCCACCACAGAACCTGCACAGCTCCCCTGAGATCCAGCAGACTGCAGGGTTTCAGGGGGTCTCTGCATGATCCTTAGGGGGCTCTGCATGATCTGTAGGGAGCTCTGCAGCCTGCAAAGCCCACCACAGAACTTGCACAGCTCCCCTGAGATCCAGCAGACTGCAGGGTTTCAGGGGGTCTCTGCAGGAACTGTGGGGGGCTTTGCATGATCTGTAGGGGGCTCTGCAGCCTGCAAAGCACACCACAGATCTTGCACAGCCCCCCTTAGATGCAGCAGACTGCAGGGTCCCAGGTGGTCTCTGCAGTAACTGTGGGGGGCTTTGCATGATCCGTAGGGGGCTCTGCAGCCTGCAAAGCCCACCACAGATCTTGCACAGCCCCCCTGAGATCCAGCAGACTGCAGGGTTTCAGGGGGTCTCCTCAGGACCTGTGGGGGGCTTTGCAGGATCTGTGGTGGGCTCTGCTGGGTCTATGGTGGGCAGTGCCCATTACAGATCCTGCACAGCCCCCCTGAGATCCAGCAGACTGCAGGTGCCACAGGGGGTCTGTGCAGGATCTGTGGGGGGTTTTGCAGGGTCTCAGGGGGCTGTGCAGGATCTGTGGTGGGCACTGCCCACCATAGACCTGGCAGAGCTCACCACAAATTCTGCAAAGCCCCCATGAGACCACAGCTTTCCTGCAACGCTAATAGCGTAACATGTCAAAAGCTGGATACAGCGTGTGTACTGTATCCAGCATCTGACAGGTTATGCTCAAAGTATTAAACAGGAAGGGGTGGGGGAAATTTAGTGTGTATGGGGGAGGGGGCCCGAGTTTTGCCTTGCCTAGGGCAGCCCTAAACCAGAATACACCACTGAGTACTAGACTGTGAGACAACACAGACCATCTATAGTGCTAAAGGTTGAATGTATCACACAGGATAAGGAAGTACTAGACTGCGAGACAACACAGAAAATCTATAGTGCTAAAGGTTAAATGTATCACACAGGATAAGGCAGTACTAGACTGCGAGACAACACAGACCATGTATAGTGCTAAAGGTTAAATGTATCACACAGGATAAGGCAGTACTACTGTAGACTGCGAGACAACACAGACCATGTGTAGTGCTAAAGGTTGAATGTATAACACAGGATAAGGCAGTACTAGACTGCGAGACAACACAGACCCTCTACAGTGCTACAGGTTGAATGTATCATACAAGATAAGACTGAGACAACACAGACCATTCCTCAGTGCTAGAGGCCGAATGTATCACACAGGATAAGGCAGTACTACACTGTGAAACACCGAGAACATCCACAGTGCTAGAGGCTGAACGTTAGACACTGAATGCATCATCCATGATAAGGCAGTACTAGCCGTGTAAGTACACAGGATAAGGCAGTACTAGACTGCGAGACAACACAGACCCTCTACAGTGCTAAAGGTTGAATGTATAACACAGGATAAGGCAGTACTAGACTGCGAGACAACACAGACCATCTATAGTGCTAAAGGTTGAATGTATAACACAGGATAAGGCAGTACTAGACTGCGAGACAACACAGACCATCTATAGTGCTAAAGGTTGAATGTATAACACAGGATAAGGCAGTACTAGACTGCGAGACGACACAGACCATGTGTAGTGCTAAAGGTTGAATGTATAACACAGGATAAGGCAGTACTAGACTGCGAGACAACACAGACCCTCTACAGTGCTACAGGTTGAATGTATCATACAAGATAAGACTGAGACAACACAGACCATTCCTCAGTGCTAGAGGCCGAATGTATCACACAGGATAAGGCAGTACTACACTGTGAAACACCGAGAACATCCACAGTGCTAGAGGCTGAACGTTAGACACTGAATGCATCATCCATGATAAGGCAGTACTAGCCGTGTAAGACCACATTATGTATGCGCAGTGTGGAGGCTGAATGGATCCTGTGGGATAAGAGACTACTTTCCAGTGATATGTTGTAAACCCAATTTGTCTTTTATTCCTCTTACATATTTTACCTGCCTCTCACTGTAGATCATAAAAAGCGCAAAACCATTTTCATAACAATATATGAAATACAGTATATTATAAATAAACTATTAAAGGGGAATGGTGTTGTATTTTTTTCCCCTAGGGCTTCTATTTTAGAATCAAGTGTATGTATAAATATATGCTTTTTATTGCACATTATGATGTGTATATGCTGTCATATATTTATATATATGTTGTCATGCACACATAGATGTGGACATGTAAAGCATTTATGTATGCGTGTGTTTGTCTAATACAGTAGTTATAGTAGTCACTGTATTCCGTTAAAGCACAAGCTTTTGATATAGATTGCTGCATCTTTGCTCTTCAATTGTGGCACAGTCTAAGCAGTCATTTCAGCTTAACATCACTGGAGTCTACTAAAATTTTTGCTTTTGCTTTACTAGAACCTAGTTTGCATGCAATTCTTGCTTTAAATTGTAGTGTGCGCTGTAGTTGTAACTTTACATACTGTAGTATAATTTGCTTGCTGTCTTTATTTAATTTCACATGTTGTGATGATGCATGAGGTGTTTAATATGTTTTGGGTTTTTCTCCCTCCTCTTCCATGCATGTTTTATGCATTATAAAATGGGCAGTCGGCAGACCACAGGGCAGCTTGGGACTCCCAGCAGGCCAACCCCCACCACCTAAGAGCTCACCTAGCAGCAGACAGACATGGTGGCTCGGTACAGGTATTTTCTGCTTCTTTGCATGACTGACTACTTGCGCGTCCCATAACCTCAGCGTGCCCTATCAGGTTGCCAAAGCATGCTTTTTGTTTGAAGCTGGTATGATGCTTTTTAGTGTGTTCTCTACTGCATAACCATTCATATTGTGGTTTTAAAATGGGTAATCTAGTAATTTAAACATTTTAAACTGCTTATGTGTAAATTATTTCGATTGAGTGCCTTTTGCATCATATTATGGAACTTTAAAAAGTTTTTTAAGAGACATTAAAACAAAATGCCTAATTTTTTTTAAGGGTTAGCATTAGTAGAAGAGGTGTGCGTTGGTCATCAGAGCTTATTCTATCACTAATGACAAATGTCTTCACATTGTTTTAAAGGAGAACTATGGGGTCAGTGCTTTTCCCCATAGTTCTCCTTAGGGTAACGGGAGGACACAAACTAGCGTCCTCCCGTTACCCTATGCTCAGTATACCGCGAGCTACAGCTCGCGGTATACTGAGACGCGGCACCTGGAGCGGATCCCGATGTAGATGACGGGATCCGCCCAGCTGCGTGAGTGACAGCTGGCTCTGCCTATCTAGAGGCAGAGCCAGCTGTACACGCCCCCTTCCCCGTCCATTCCGCCAGTCAGAGCTGGCAGATCGGAGCAGGGAGAGGGGAATCCAGCCCCTCCCCCTGTCACGGCAGAGAGCTGTGACAGGATCGAGAGGTGAGGGAACCCGGTATGTGTTCCCTCACCTCCCGATCTACTGAGCCGACCTGTGACAGTCTCATTGTCACAGGTTGGCTTTGAACTATGAGGTGAGTGGAAATCACTCATCTCATAGTTCTCCTTTTAAGAATCGTTTTGCATCTTTCAAGACTTTCTATAGACAACAATACATTGTTACACTCAGAGGCCTAAAAGGGGGCTGCTGCAGCAAGACACTGCACACTATGGAGAGAGTTGAGCAGCACAGAAGGCAGTCAGTAGTGTTTGACTTAGAATGGGATCAGGATTCATGCATCTTGTTCATTCTGTGCTTCTCTTTATAAATATATACGATTTCCCTTTTGTAGGGGGGAAAAAAAGTTTCTGCTAAGGTTTTCATATGGTCGTACTAGTGCATACATTGTTAAATAAAATCACTAGATGAAAAACTATGATCAGCTTGTAATTCTAATCTTTTATTCATAAAGCATCATATTTGATCATAGTTTACAGTGAGGTGAAGAGTAAATCAACATACATTGAACAGGAGATGGTGTATGAGGGCTCTGCATTGTAGTGCTTACAGTCTAAAAGGTTTCAGCTCCTGTAAGAACATCTAATGCCGGAATTGCATAAGTGTCGAGGTTAACGCTGAAAAATAAACATGATAAAACACATGGACAAGAAAAGATGGATTGGCTAAAATGTATTGGTTTTCTGTATATTGAAAATACATATATTAATATCTTTGAGAAAAGCAAACTCTCATGCAAACATTGAGTTTCTTTTGGTTTTTTAACCAAGACTGAACAGCAACTTTTATGACCAGTGTATGTCTTTTTAAGTTTCTGGTTTTAACTACTGCTGTCTAAATGAGCGCTACTTTCTGTGTCTCGGAAAGCACACCACACCTTTTTAACAAGCATTAGCCAGCTAACTTAGAGGATATTTATTTCCTTTGTCAGTGGCTTATGACCAGTTGTGAGTTGCTAGCAGTATGTGTCGGTGATGTTGAGCCTCACTTAGATGCAACGGAAAATTCTATAAAGAGATGATGCACTTTCCAGGCTTCTCAGATCTCTGCGGACCTAATGGAATATGCAGACAGACATTTAAAGGAGAACAAAAGTTCTAAGCACAGCATTCTGCTGCATTGTTGTTGTGTGATAACCTTCCTCTAGGAGAGTGCCCATTTTTCATTTTCTTGTTTTCTTCAATCAATCTTCTGTTAATATAAAATGTAACTTTTGCTTCCATGAAAACATTCCAGCCTAATGCATTTATTTTAGTTTTTTTCCAGTGTTAATTATAATTGCTTGTGTGCACCTATTCCATAATGGACCACTTTCAGTTGGTAGTGTACACGGCAAATTTCCATAAATTTCAACCACTTTCAGTCAGTTATAGTTTTCTGACAATATTTGTATTATTATTATACAGGATTTATATAGCGCCAACAGTTTGTACAGCGCTTTACAATATAAGGAAGACATTACAATCAATACAATTCAAGACAAGATGTAAAGGAGGGCCCTGCCCGTGAGGGCTTACAATCTAAAAGGGAGGGTCAAGTGATACATGAGGAGGTAGCTGTGTGGGAATAATTTGTATGAAAACGTGATGGTTGAGTGGTTAGTTTGAGGTGGGATAGGCTTCCTTGAAGAGAGGAGTCTTAAGACATGACCACATGGATCAGTGCAATCCACTAATAATGGATTCTAATAAGACTCTGATATGGAAAAACTTTTACGCAGGTTGTGCTAGTTGAAATTGTTTTGCAATTGCCTGAAATTTGCATAGCTGGCATAAGGTGGCCATACACTTTACAACCCTTGCAAGACTTACGTCTTGCGAGGGTTGTAAAGTAATTTAAAAAACGTACGGTCTGCCCATCATGGACAGGCAGATCGTACTTGCAATCATCCCAAGCCCGCCCCGCTCAGGGGGTGGGCTTCCGATGACTGCAATGCTGAATGGGCAGTGTGCGGGTGCGCACACCGGCCCGTTCGGCAGGTGTCGAACAAGCACGCCACTAACCCGCCGAGAATCGCACGATTCTCGGCAGGTTTTCCAGCCTGCTGCTTCGACGGAAGACGTGCGATCGTACAGTAGAAACGGTCGCATGCCTTCCATACACTTTGCAATTATCGTACGATCGCGGGATTTCCCGCGATTCTCGTACCATAATCGTACAGTGTATGGGCACCTTTATGCTTAATAAGGTCATGTACTTGGCTGTTTTCAGATTAGTTTAATTAGCAATCTTGGGGTGAGAGTGGTCTGTCCAGTTTTGTTGCCTGTACTAAAGGAGAGACTTTTCCTCCTTGGCTATACAGTGTGATAGAATGATCAGCCATTTTTGTGGTTCATATACTGCTAACAAATATGTGCTAGGTAAAACATTTTAACGTGTATATTTAGCTGTTTTACTGTAGTGAAGGTTTGATTCTTGACTGGTATTAATATCAAGTTGTCAGCTGACCATATTCAGTCCTAAATATAAAAGGAAATTAATTGAAACATATTTGATTATAGTTAGTTGCCAGGTACACCTCTGTTATATACGTCATTGCCCTAAGAACACTGGATTTCAAACAGATATGTTAGATGTGGTTGTACAATCCTCAGTGCATGCCATCATTGTCGTCATTGTTTCATTTTACCACAGGAAAATGAAGCGAAAAAATAAAGAATGCAGCTATCTCATCTAAGGACTGATGAGCAGTAACATGTTACATTTTTGTTTTGGGTCTAGATATGCTTTAAAGCTGAACTACGGGCACAAAAACTTTCATTAAAAAATATTCCTCAGTAATCGCTAAGGATATAAATCCACTTTGTTTGAACCAAGTGCCTTTGCATATTTACATAATAGTTACACAATCAACACAGCCTGCGCAGAGAGCTCAGCTGTAGGAAAGACTCAGCAGGCTCTACCCACTGCAGGCTGCCTGGAGAAAACTACAGCAGGGGGCGGACACGGGACCAGTCACCCTGCACAAGGTGAGAGAGCAGCAGTGGCTAGTCTTCATACAGAAATACACAAACCACACCAAGATTTAAGACATCCCAGAGTTCAGCTTTAACTGCATTACACAAAAACTGTGGTGGGAGAAAGTTTGCATATTGCGTGTACAGAGTAGTGAAGTAACGCTGATTAACTCATTTCTTTTACATAATGTTATATATGAAGCTATATTTTTGGCAGATGAATAAAAATTAAACGTAATAAAGAGTTTACATCTTTTAAGGACAACGATCACAAACAAAGCTTCTCTCTGTGCTACAAACTTACACCTTCACTCAATTTTCCCCATGTCACAGTGACGGCGACAACAGAGGAGGTTGCGATCTTCTTTTCTAGACAGTCTTTCCCTGTAACTAAAAGCCACAAACTGATCTGAAATAAAGATGTAGGCTCACTTAAAATGGGGAGTGAGGGCTTTAATCTTCGCCCTGCTATAAAGGCTGGTTATAGATTCATGCATGTACCATTTTTTCTAGGGCTTTAATCTATTCTCAGAGACCCGATTAATTCCCACTGGGCTGCCATGTTACCTCTCGCACAGCAGAAGTAGACAGCCAGCGCATAAAAGACACATCTGCCTTTCTTTTCACTTCTCTCAGTGGTTATGGGAGAATGGATAGAGATGGAATTGAGGGCCAACCTTTTGACTATTGACCAAAAGTTACAATTTGAATATCGGATACAGTGTTGTTTGCCACCTCGGGCTGCATTATTTAGGGAAAGGAGGATTGTGTTTGAAACCGGATGGATCAGATTATGAACATTCTACCTTGCGTGGGTTGTAAAGTAATTTAAAAATTGTACGGTCTGCCCATCATGGACAGGCAGATCGTAAAGGAGATATTTTGTGGTTTGCTTTGCTGAACATATTTGCTTCCTACATACTTTCTTTTTTTTAAATGCATCCTATGTGTAGCGGGAACTTTCTCAACTGGTCATTAGCCCAGGGTATAGATGACGTATCTCGTTGTTCTGCTTTTTCTCTTTGGCATATTCAGATTAAAAACTTTCTGTTGGGTCCCATTCACATGCAAGTGCTTTCCTGAGCATTTTCAAATTCAGAAAGATGCATCTGAGCTGTTGTGTATTAAATATTTGCAGCATGGTTGCTGATTGCACGGAGTGTGCTACCTTCTTCTAGCAGTTTAGGCATGTTTTCCCTCGGATGCTTTGTCTTCCAAGATCCACACTGATGATACTTTTAGAAAAGATAAACCTGAAGCAGTTAAAGCAAAGTGTCAATTAACCTTTATTGTTGTATCTAGTAATATATAGGTTGTATGTTCTGTGTATTGTTTGTCAATTTATGTGAAGGGAACTATGCTTGTTGCTGGTAAACCTTTTTATGGAATTTTTTAAGTTTACTGATTATACAATTGCTTTTTGATATATTTATTAAAATCTTTATTTTGCTAAAATATTACTGAGGGCGTTTACTTTGCTGCATTTGCAGAGCATGCTGAGCTTACTAGTTAGAAAGCTGAGCTGTATCTCGGCACTGGACTGCTCCTACAAATGGTACTTCCAGATAAGAACCTTCATCCACTAAGAGAGAGGGTGTGATTCCATGAAAGCCAGTGCACTCCTAACTGCTACTGACCTTTTCAGAAGGGTGGGTGTTGAAGTGACAAACAGATGGCACAGTTGTGTACAGCATCAATGAAAAGGCAAAAACAATTACCAGCACTCCTAAATTATTCAAAAAGCATTGACACGTATTTTCAAAGATTTCTCATGTGACATTTCAGGGCCTCAGAGGACTCGTTTATCAAGGCAATAGTGACAAATTTAACATACGAACACTAGGTTTAAATTGTCCATTAAACCAATCACAGTACCACATCCAAAAATACTGATATTTGCTAACCTTTGCAGTTTTTTACTTTTTTTTTTCAGGTTTATAGGTTTAAAAAAAAAAAACACATTATTTTTTTGTTTATTAAAAAACCCTTTATTTCTCACGAATACAAAATAACAGGCGAGGGTTTTACCTTTCTCTTTCTGCAGTGCTTGTTAATGAAAAAGTCCACTTCTAGCTCTCAACTGGACTGCTTCTACAAATAGTAGCTCCAGATGAGAACCTGCCTCTACTAAGAGGAAGGGTTAGAGGTGTGTGTGTCTGGTTTGATTGGGGTTTTTTTTTTTCTACGATACAGGTCACAACACAGGCTTGCCTCAGGATAGTAGCAAACCAACTTCCTCAAACTAGCTTTGTATTCCACTCCTGCTGGATGTATGAAATCTGTCTTTGTAAAGGTTAATATTTGCATGGCTAACCAGAAATTCAAATATTGGCATTGCATATAATACCTAAAGTGCAAAATTCTACACATTCACTTTAAAACATAGTTAAACTGGGTGGAGCTTTAGTGTGATGAAGTAAGACTTCTAATAATATGACATTCTGCATCAACTGCTAAAAGACCCAGATTGAAATCTTGAGTTTCTCAGATGCTGCTTCTGCCATGTATTTGCCAATATTTGATCTCTTGTATTTTGGCAGGTTGTAAGTTCTACAAATGGTGAGCTGAATACAGATGATCCCACAGCCGGACACTCAAATGCACCCATCACTGCCCCAGCAGAAGTTGAAGTCCTAGATGAAACAAAGTAAGTTATGCATTAGTTTAGACATACTGTCAAAATGTCAACTGCTGAAATAGTTTTTAAAGATGGAACGTGTGTCCAAGTAAGACGGTGACTGCCAGCATACAGCTTGTGATTAGGGCCCAGGAGACAGACCAGATCTAGGGTAATACACTTTCATGCCGCTTTGTAAAGCGGAAATAACTCATGGTAGGGACAACCACAATTCGCTATTATGTGCAACTAGGCTTAGCACATTATGACATACTTACTTTTTGGTGTGTTCTCCATCAATATGAAGTCTGATCTCCCTGCAGCCACTGTGTACCCGCTGGTGCCATGTTATTTTCCTCTTCTTCACAGTTATCTCTGTGTTGTGCCCTCTGGTGGATTCCCCATGAGAACACAAGAACTGCCATGCCTGTGTTAAGGTGGGCATACACTACGCGAATTTCAGCTGGTTCTTGATGGACCAACCAAAATTTGGCCAATGGGTGTCGCTGTCGGCACCATTTCGTCCGGCATCCCTCGATCAGCTGACGGAAGGAGCCGGTTGGAAAATTTTTGAACGAACAGCTGCCAGCTCTGTTGGGGTATTCCGACAATGGCCGCCGTCAAAATGCAATGAATACAGTGGGAGATGCCTCAATCAACGCTCGTAAGCATTGATGGAGGAACCTGTTTTTCTACATTCAGCCAGCAGGTTGAACAAAGAAAATATTACAATATATTTCAGTTACAATCAACGTGTCACTCTATACTAGTCATGACCGCAGATCTACTTGCCAGAGTCCTGAGGAGCAGTTAAGAAGCAGGAGACTGAACCCTGCCAGCACTTTACCCAGAATGGAGAAATCTTTTTTTGAAGCAGTTGCTCTTTATTCAGATACTGTCACGTTGCCCATTCAGGGTTGGGTAATTGTACGTGCCAGGATGGTATGAGAGAGGCGCTGGGCAATGTGCAAAGTTACATTCTCTATCCAAGTTCTATTATTGCTCAACCAAGGGCTCTGTCACATAAGTAGGAAAATGCGTTTGCAGTCACGGAAAGGCCCGCATTGCAGCAATTCAGCTATTTGTAGGTTTGTCAGCAAGCAACAGCTTTTTGCAGCATTAGGAGCTAGCGAAATAGTCCACATCTGCAGTTGCTTTTCATGGAATCCAATACAGCTTCTTATGATCATGGCCCACCAGCTCTTTGTCATAGACAAGCAAAGCAACCAGCTAGGTCAGCAATTCAGTAGCTAACTGAAAATTGCCAGAGAAAATGCTCCAAATAATTGTAGATTAACAGTTTGGATTCATTCATACTGGGTAATTTGGGCATTCTTGCGGCAGGAATCCCACATATCTAGTTTGGATGTGGCCCCTGTATCTGTTCAATGATAGTAACAGTAGCCGCATCTTGTAAGCAGCAATCCATGTGTAATTGTGATACGATTACATGCTGTTTGGAATAGACCACTGTCCCTGGACGCAGGATAGATGCATCCAGCAAAAGTGATCTATTCCAAACTACATGTAATCGTATTACATCCAGACCGCTGCTTACAGATGGTCTTACTCTTCATGACCAATTTTTTTTCTTTTTAAACATGTGCTAAAATACACCCTTTTGACCTGAAGAATACTTATAATCCCCAAAACTTACATTGTCTGAATCATGAGAACCTGTAGAATTAAAGGTTGAATGTTTATATGCCACGAAATTTGCACAACTGTTGACCAAACTCCTTCAATGAACGGAGAGAAAAGGATTTTACGGTGAGTACCAAAATCCTATTTTTTAGTGTAAGACAAGCATATGGCTGCTATTGCAGTTGTAAGCTTGTTTTAAATCTTTCAATGCCATGATGTGTAGTACGCGTCTTTTGCAGCGAAAAGGTTGAACAAATCTCTGCTATGGAGGTACAGATATGCCAATAATGACAGTTGAATATCAAGAAGTTAGCTTATTGATTTTCATTTATTGTTCTATCATGAAAATTTTGGGAGGATACAGGCAATGAGACCTTGTGCTATGCCTATCTTAAAGAGGAACTTTAACGATATCTTCAAAATAACCACAAAGACACCTTTAGAAATGTTTAGTAATGACAATCTACAAACACATACTTCTAGATAATTGCAGGCTTTTTATTTTTTGCATACCTTTTTTCTTTTCTTCCCCAGTCGTCTGACAGTGGCCATTTTTACTAAGGGCAGGTTACTAGATCTCCCTTTACTTCCTGGAATTCTGGCACATGTGACTAGGACATGTGACCATGCACATCATCTCAGGGGAGGAAAATGCCTTTCCCTGAGATCTCTTGAGATTACAGATGAGATTTCCCAGCAATGCTCTACTGATGTAAGCTTCCCAGGATGCAACGCTTGGGCACGATTACATCATTTGTGCCAAAGTGGACCAAGAAGTGGAAAAAAAAAAAGAAATTGTAAGTGAAATAAAAATATGTTTGCTTAGCTAATGAATGTAAGATGATTTCATATCAGCATGCAGAGCTGCATGCTGCTGTGAAAGGTGGTAAAGGTCCACTTTAAATTGATTATAAGGGGCAATAGATAATTTCCAAACTGACCAATAGACTTTTGGCTATGGGTTTAAAATGTTACTTTTGCAGCCAGTGGCAGACTGTATACAGCCCTTGGCTCAGACTGAATGAAAAGTTATTCATTTTAGTGTTGTGGACCTATTTTGTTCTGACTGTTTGCTGGTATATTTTCTTTTACTGCCATTAAACCTAGTTTATGATCATGCAACCCGCACAGTTATTACTTTACTGTAGAATCACCCAAACAGCAACATTTTGTTTGCCCAGTTCGCTCTTCTTGCCTATGTGTGTTTTCAATTTCACTGTATTTAAAAATGTGTGACATACACAGACTAAACAGACAGGCAGGTAGGTATTCGCTATGAGCTTGTCAATGTTTTATAACAAAAAAAAAATCTATATGCAAGTATGCGTTTGAATGTTTCACTTTTATGTTTTGATTGGAGAGAATTTCAAACTATAGACAGCAGCATACAGAAATCTATGAAGTGAGGGTGCTATGTGGCTCTTTGTCTGATTTTTCTCCTTTCTCCCCATGCATAGCTGCCAGAAAGTGTTGAACATGTGGTGAGTTGTCCATATGCAGAGGCAGGCAGAACCAGCTCCGTCACAGTAACGGTCATAGCATCTTTGGGTTGTGTCTAATTTGGTTTAGTCGTAATTATAATATCCATTCTAACTTTTTTGTAGAAATCAGCAGTATTTATAACACACTTTCGTTTACCTTCAAGGAGCTGTTTTGCCTGCCACAGTTTGTGTTTGTCAGTGGATTAGATTTTTGTGCACATATGCCTGCTGTTACACACAGTTTGTTTTTATGACCGCTTTCTTTTAGTCTGCTCTTTCGATCTGCCACATAAGTTAATATCATGCTCAAAATTTCTTTTTGCAGGAGTACAGTTCTGTGTAGATCTTGCCGGATAGGGTAAACCAGAAATAAAGGATGATCATAGTTGTAGAACTTGGCATGTAGATGCTGCTTTTTCATGATGTCATAGCATCCTAGCAGTTCTTTCTCATTAATGTTGGCCAATGCATGGCACAAATTAGAACTGCTGGTTACATTGCTTTGTTGAAGATTTGCATTTAAAAAAAAAAAAGTCATTAACCACTTGCTGACCAGGTGTTTAGACTCCCTTCGTGGCCAGGCCATTTTTTAGTATTCAGCGCTGTGGTACTTTGACTGACATTTATTCCCTCATGCAACTCTGTACTGAAATTAATGTTATACTATTTTTTGGGGAGACATAGAGCTTTCTTTTGGTGGTATTTAATCACCACTGGAGGTTTTATTTTTTACTATATTCAGGAGAAATTACTGAACATTTTGAAAAAAAAAGTTTTTTTTACATTGTTATAAAACAACTAATATTACCCACTTTTTTGGTAAAATATAAAAGACGGAGTCACGTCGGGTAAATAGACACCAAACATGTCAAGCTTAAAAATTGCACGCACTCGCAAAATCGCAAAAAAACTAGCATGCCCAAAATTGACCATAGGCGACACTTAAAAAGCTTTTACAGCTCATCAGTTTAGTGTTATCAGTGATTGATGGCCCTAAAATTATTGCTCACTGCGATGTTCGCGGCGATATGTAACATGTTTGGCGTAATGGGCGCAATCGTCGTTTTCGCAGGTATGTGCACCTGATGCATGTTTACATGCGTGTATGTAGGGGTGGGGACTTTAAAAAAAAAAATTGTAATTCTTTTTTTATATGTATTTTTTTTGGGGGGAAACTAATTTTTTTCCACTTTATTGCTATCACAGAGGGGGCTAAGAAACCCCTATATGTGATGGCAAAAGATGTGACAGGTCCTCTTTATGGAGACATCAGGGGTCTCCAAGACCCCTAATGTCACCTAGGAACCCCCTGAAGAAGCTGATGAAGCAGAGATCTGCTTCATCAGCTTCTCTCCAGCATCTGAAGCTGGAGAGTGACACGAGAATGCGGAGAGGGGACCGGAAGGAGATCGTGAACCGACCTCCCTCTAATCCCCTGTCAAAGAGGCACTATGCTGGTCCTGGGCTCGCACCGGGCACAGCGGAGCCCGGGATCAGCGTGACAGCTGGAAGCGGCA